GATTAATGTCATTATTGTGGGAGAAGATTATTTATTGCAAGAGCAGGCTTATTGTAGAGGTGAGTTTGGCCTCTTGTTGCTCCCTGTCCTTCTGCAAGGACACAGCAAGAAGGTCCTAGTCAGTTGCTGGCACTTTGATATTGGACTTCCCAGGCTGAAAAACTGTGAGAAATACGCTTCTTTTCTTTATGAATTATCTATACTCTGGTATTGTGTTATGGAAACACAAAATAGATTCAGAAAGTTTTGCTCACACTTTCAGTAGGTTCTGAAATAGAATTCATTCCTACTCTGAGCTCACCATTTATGATATTTTGAGATGTCTCTAAATCCATTCTTATTGGGTCTACCCACAAGATTGGGTAATAACATGCACTGTTATTAGCATAAGATGTCTCTGGCGTTAAAAAAAAATCTCATTACTGGACTGGGGTTGTAGCTCAGTGGTAGAGTGCTTGCCTCGCATGTGTGAGGCCCTGGGTTTGATCTTCAGCAACACAAGAAAGTAAATAAATAAAAATAAAGATATTGTATCCATCTACAACTAAAAAAAAATTTTTTTAAATCTTACTGCCTTCTTGTAGAACACAGGAACTAAATCTCATTTCATTCTTTCATTGAGGGATTAAGAGAAAAAAAAAAGCATTGTTTTTGTTTTGTTTTTTTGTTTGGTTTTTAACCAGGGATTGAATTCAGGGACACTCAACCACTGAGCCACATCCCCAGCCCTATTTTGTATTTTATTTAGAGACAGGGTCTCACTGAGTTGCTTAGCACCTGTCCATTGCTGAGGCTGGCTTTGAACTCAAGATCCTCCTGTCTCAGCCTCCAGAGCAGCTGAGATTACAGGTGTGCGCAGCATTGTTCTTTAAGGCTCTGATTCCCTTACTTTTCAATGCCTGCCCTCGACTTCTAATACTAAAGAAGAGTTTACAGTTTTGTATGTGTGTGTCTTATGGACTTCAGATTTGACATAGTACATGTAACCTCTTGTACAACTCAACACCACTTTTTCTGTACTCTTTCTTTCTTCATGAACAATCTCTTAGATCCCAAATATATGTCATGAGCAAAAGAATSTAACTTAAGGGTCTTGCTTTTATTTCCTCATCTGTCAAATGGAGGTGATACTGTTGACCATGGGTTGTATACTTGGCTATGAAAATTAAATGGAAAAACAGGTGGAGTGAACGAAATGCTTGTTTGGTATTAACAATCCACATCACTCGTTTAGTTAAAACGCATCTTCAGGTGGAGGGGGAAACATCCTGGTAATATATGAGCTGGTGTTCAGAAATGGAGAATCAAGCCGCTGCCCTGTCTGTATGGTGCTAAGAGGCCCTGGTCGGCCACTTACCTCCCTGGGTACTCGAGAGTGCTGACGTCACCTCCAGAATCCACTCATTCTGTGAACACTGGGGGTCCTTTGGGGAGATGGAGGGGAAGAAGGAGGTCACTTGAGGAGATCAGAAGCAGGAGGCAGAGGCAGTTTTCTTCCCTGGACAAGAGAGCTCAGGCAGCACCGTGTAGTAAACTGCTCACTTAATGAGCACCAAAGGAGGGAGTGACCTGCAGTCAGGGGAGAGCCTCTCTCTAAAGGCCGGCGCCTGGGTCAGGTGGTGTAACCAGAAGGAGGGGGGAGAAAAACAACCCGTGTCCAGTAACTGCTGTTTATAGCTGGGTTCAGGTTCTTTCCATAAAGTCTTTAAGCCCCACAGAAGAGAAGCCCTGGGAGTCCTCTCTGGACTATTCCTATGTGTTCCTCTCCTTGTCGCATGAGGCTCTGATCTCCGGCATATCTCAAAATGCTTCTTTTTCACTGTTGGCATCAGTGTCAGGATTCAAGGTTGGAAAAATCATCCCTCTAAAAAAGTATCTAAAATTGTCCTCGAGATTCCATTGTCTCCCCTGCCCCTGTCCCCACCCCTCATACTGAGGATTGCATCCAGGGATGCTTTACCTCTGAGCTACAGCACAAGCCCTTTTCATCATTTTGTTTGTTTGTTTGTTTGTTTGTTTGTTTGTTTTTAGTACAGATGGACACAATACCTTTGTTTTATTTATTTATTTTTATGTGGTGCTGAGGATCGAACCCAGTGCCTCACACATGCTAGACAGGTRCGCTATCACTGAGCTACAACCCCAGCCCCTCMTTTTGCATTTTGAGACAGGGTCTCACTTAGTTGCTTAGGACCACATTAGTGGCTGAGGCAGGCCTGATGCTTTCGATCCTCCTGCCTTGGTCTCCCCAGTTGCTGGAATTATAGGTGTGTGTTACCACATTGGCTTTGCCTTTTCTTTAAATTTAAACCTGGACAACTACCTGCTAGTCCCTTGTATTGTAATATGAATGCACTRAATTTGTTATCTTTGTTTTGTATAKCAGGATTAATTTATTTTCCCAGTGCTCCTTATTCAACTTTGCTTATATCTCTTCCTTCTCAGACCTTTTATTCCTCTTCCTTATCCAGAAAGATACTTGAGCTTAAGAAAAAAGAGGAACTTTTTCAGATATTATTATATATAAACCTATATAAATAATATCCTCTACTTCATATATTTTTATACACTGATTTTGAGATACAGGATAAAATACATTACCTGTTTAAATCAGGTAGGGCTATCTTGCATTATTATTACATGATTTTTCATTGTCAAAGAATATAATATATGCATTTTAAAACACATACATGTTCCTTCATATGAATCTTATCTACTTTATTGTTAGGCTTTTTCTCCAGAACCTCAAAGAAAAATAACTTTTCAAACAAGGAGTTTATTGTTTCATGTATCTCATAAGTTTGTTATGTATAAATTACCCACTCCACGTTTTTAACAAACCAAACACACAAATTTCCTTCCTCCATCTTGTAATGGTACTTTTTAGCGTTTTTGGCTTTTCTAGGATGGAGAGCCCCACGAACCTTGGGAGCACCCTTGCCACGTCACTCTCAGGATCCAATTCTACACACACGGCTCACAGATGTGGGCCGAGTCCTGCACATAACCTGGGTGGTGCTTGTTTCTGGGAGGTGTTTAATCGGGGCACGGGAGTGTAGGGCATGGAACATCAGTGACTGAAGGTATGTAGTCAGGTGACGCAGACTTCAGTGAGTGACAGACTGCACCTGTGACTGTGGACCCGTGAGATTACTGTAGAACTGAAAGGTTCCTATTGCCTAGTGATGTCATCAGGCAATGCATTGTGTGCTCCGGGGACTGCTGGTATACATAAGCCTGGGTCATCAGTCATGTAAAAATATGGCATATGCCATTATGTACAGCACRTCATATTTGACAGTAGCCATAGTTATGTTACTGGTTTATATTTTTTTTAACTTTATTTTATTTATTGTCTGTGATGCTGAGGATCCAACCCAGTGCCTCACACATACTAGGCAAGCGCCCTACCACTGAGCCACAACCCCAGCCCTGAGGTTTATTACATTTACTATGCTTTTTAGCATTATTTTAGAATCTACTCCTACTTACTAGAAGTTTACCTGAAGACAACGTGCCGTGTGGTGCTGGCAGCAGCCTCACCATCTCTTGTTTACATTCAGTTGTATCAGGAGGCCACTCAGAGTAGTTGACTAGACCATCTAGCTTTGTGCTAGTGCACTCTGTAGCCAGGCATGGTGGGGCACACCTGTAATCCCAATGAATCAGGAGGCTGAGGCAAGAGGATTGTTAAATTGAAGGCTAGCCTCAGGGGGTTAGCAACGCTCTTAGCAATTTAGGGAGATCCTGCTTCAAAATAAAAAGGACTTGGGATGTAGCGCAGTGGTAAAGAGCCCCTGGGTTCAATCCCCAGTACCAAAAAAAAAAAAAAAAAAAAACCAATAACCACAACAACATTCCATGATGTCCTTACAATGACAAAATTGTCTAATGCCACGCACATTCCCATCATTAAGCTATGCATGCCTGTAGTGTTTTTGACTGCCACAAAATCAAAGTTTTGCTATATTTTAGATGTTGCCTGCTGAAAACTCGGTTCTTATCCCCAGTGTCAATCCAATAATGAGGACTCGGTTTGGGGAAAATGAAGGTTTATTGCTTTGCTAGCAAAGGGGAAATACAGGGGACTCCTATCCCAAAAGCTGTGATTCTTCCYATCAGCAGCAAAAAGGGGCTTTTAAAGAGGTGACTCAAAGGCTACATTCCTTGGATTCTCTGTTGGAATCGTAATTCACTTGTTAATTTGGGAGTTTGTCATTTCTGAGATCTTCTGATGCCATCCCCAAAGTCTGGATTATTTCATTCTTATGGTGGGTGTGTGCTCAGGGACAGATAACTCTGCCTAGGATGGGGAAGTAAGGTAATCTGTTTCCCCTGAGATTAGGAATAGGGGGAGAGAAGGAAAAGAAACACTTCCATTTTAAAACTCAGTTGCAGGGCTGGGGTTGTAGCTCAGTGATAGAGCCTTCGCCTTGCATGCACGAGGCCCTGGGCACTACATGAAAATAAATAAGTGAAATAAAGGTATTGTGTCCAACCACAACCAAAAAATAAATATTAAAAAAACATAAGTTTAAATAAATAATTAAATAAAAATCAGTTGCAGTGGCCGAGCTGCATCAAAGCATAAAGTGGACCTCTGTTACCTAGGAACTTTAGAATTTTAACCTCTGGTTTCATATTTGTTGCAACTTGCATTTAGGAAAGCACTGACCCACAAGCCAAGAGACCAGGCTGTGATTTTTTTTTTTTTTTTTTTGCCATTGACTACCCTGGGTGACCTTGATCTACAGTTTCCTCTAATCTAGAATGAGAGACAGAAGAGTCCAAGGACTGCTTCCAGTAGAAAACCTCCCTGTGTGCTGAGGAAGGACTTCCCAGCAGATGATGCTGTCAGGCTGCAGGTTATCTGCAGGTTATCAAGTACTTTGATCCTCTGAAATTTTTTTCTCACATGATACCTGCTCCTTGAACTCTATTGAGCCTCAGTGGTTCCAGGACTAGCCTCTCCCACCAGCTCTGTGTCCTCTGTATTTCAGATGCCTGAGTCAGATGAACACCAAGATGTGTGCGGCCCTGAGGATTCCAAGGGGAACTTGGAAAGTCCCAAACAGGGCAACAGTAAACTGAAGCTCAAGAGTCGTCTGTCAGGTAAGTGTCAACTCTGCCTGCTGAGGCCTGCCCGAAGAGGAGCTTTCCGCCTTGGGAGTGGGGAGATAATGCCATTAACGGAATGAGCACTTTTCTTCCTTAACCTCAAAATTGTTTTTCCTTAGATGATGCATGCTCCTGGCATAACAGCGCCATTAAGCCTGGCTGCCCACGTAAATATTTTTATTTGAGTCATAACAAAGTGAATGCCAACGTTGCTGTGTGTCTCCACCAAAATGTAAATTTGTTTGGTTCATTTATTTCTGTAGGATTTCAGGTGACCCCTTCAGTGTGGAACACCCCTGATGGTCCATCTTCCCCACCCTCAGCCAACCAGAAAAAGGGACAAAGAGCCATTGATCTAATATCAAATTTGCATCTCAACTAATCAAGAACAAATGGGATGGAATTTCAGCTCTTCAAACAAATAGATTCTGTATTCTCTACTTCCCGGGCATTTCCTTAGAGTCACTGGCCTGTGCCCTGAATGCTGAAAGCGGAGGCCAAGTGCAGGAGACACAGGATGACTTTCATGGGTCTCAGGCACTTTTGCCCTGATGGGGCATTTCTTCCACCAAAAAATAAGAGTTATATTTTATGCATGTGTTGGTATACAAGTACAGTCCGGGTTCATGTAAATCTATTTGTTGAGATTATGTTCAATTTTTTTCTGCTTTTAAAAAGTAATTAAAACATTCCTGTGGGTCCTTGGAAGTGTCATGGGCCTCTGGCACTGTATTTTCTGGCCTAATTGGCCTAATGGAGAAGTCGATCCTGGCTGCCTACCCCTGACAGTCATCTGGGATGACTTTTCTTTTTTTTCTTTCCTGGAAGGAAAATAAAAAGGAAGACACAGAGACAAGGTGCAGAGGCAGGAAGATGGCTACTCCTACCTGTTCCTCTTTATTTTTATTTTTATTTTTTTGGAGCAGGAAAGTTAACAGAGAATTGAACCCAGGGGTGCTCTACCTCTGAGCTACATCCCGGGCCCTTTTTATTTTATTTTGAGACAAAGTTTCACCAAGCTTCCCAGGCTGGCCTTAAACTTGTGATCCTCCTGCCTTAGCCTCCGTAGTCTCTGGGATTACAGGCTTGTTCCAACCTTCCTGGCTCTCAAAGCAAGAGCTGTGTGGCCTGGCAGCGCCAGGCTTACCCTTCTTCAGCTCTTGAATTGCCTCACACCCTTAGGCTGATTTCTGAGCCTCCCCAAACTTCTACTCCCCACCTGAAATAAGAGAGTAATACCCTGACTTTGAAAGGTTGGGCAGATGTGTGTTTTTAATGTACGTGATTCATCTAGGGCAATGCATAGTGTGTTGTATCCAAAAACCATCTGCATTGTCCTCCACTACCCAAATCAATAGAGGGGGCAGTAGCCAGGCTACCAGCCAAAGTCTGGTGCCACCTCCCTCCCTTCCCTCCTCCCTCCCTGGCTGGCCTCCGCTGAGTCTATTCTCAGGCAAGATGGCAGGTATGGGACCATAGAATACATCACTTTTTCAACAAAGTAAACAAAATCAATTGTATTTGCAGCTCTGCAGACTGAGGTGGTGTTAGAACATTTGTGAGAAAAGAGACCGTGAAGCCAGAGACTGATGAGGAGAACCAGTGCAGGTTCTTACCTGGAGGCAGCAGCCAACAAAACTGCCCCCCCCCCGCCCATTACCAGTCCTGAGGAGTGGTTGAGAGAAACATTTAAATCCTGTTTGCGTTTGGGTGGGGAAGGCCCTGAGGTCAGCTCTCTGACACCTTAGAAACAACCCCCTGGGAGACTCACAGAGCTCTGGGGAAATACAGGGACCTTTGGAACCAACCTGGTCACATTCTTCATTTTATGGATGAGACCCGAGAAGTTAAGGGAATCCCAAAGGTCGCTCTGTCAAAGTCGCTGAGGGAAAAGAAGCTGCCCCCACCCCTACTCCCACCCCCACCGCAGACATTTCTTCTTCCAAACCTTGAGTTTCCTGATCATGAAAGAATTCTGTCCCCTGTCTGGGGCTTCCTAGATCCTTCTACAAAGGGAGTGGGATATAGCAGGGGCGAGGGCGGGGTGTCGGCTTCCGGATGTGTGATTTTCTAATTCTGTTCATGCTAGAGTTAGTCAGCTTTGTTGCTGGGACAAAATACCTGAGAAAAGGAACTTAGGAGAGAAAAGATTTATTTTGGATCATGGTTTCAGAGGCTTCRGTCCATGGTTGTCTGGCTCTGGGGCTTTGGGCCTGAGGTGAGCAGAACATCATGACCAAAGGAAAGGGTGTTATGGAGTAAYACCTCATGGCACTCAGGAAGCAGAGGAGGGAGAAGGAGGGCTCAGGGTCAAATGTACTCCCCAAGAACATACACCCAATGACTGACTTCTCCATTCAGCTATAATTAATCTACTGATGAAGTCAGAGCCCTCCTATCCAATCATTTCCCAAAAGATCCACCTCTGGACATTGCTGCATTGGGRACCAAGCCTCCAACACATGAGCCATGAGGGGACATTCCAGATAGACTGTAGCAATACTGTAAATTTGGAATGAGCGGCACGTCCAGCTGAGCATTAAATCCAGAACTGGCCACTGTTTGTCATGAAGGACTGCCCCCCCCYCTTCCTGTGTCCTTCCGGGACATCCAAGGCTGTGACATGGGAATGCAGAACAGGGAGAAACACAGACACATTATCCAGAACTGTGTTCAGTTCCCAGCTGTGCCACTTCTGGTGGGACCAATGACCTGGGACAAGTGACTTCTCTGGGCCTCAGTTTCTTCTCTGTCAAGTGAGGGTTATAATATACTCTCACCCTGACAGTACTTGTGAGAGGCTTCCAAGGTCCAAGCCTGGTTGACAGATCGAGTTGAGAGTATGCATGTGGCACTGCCATTCTGAGTGTGGCAAGTGYGCCCTTGCCTCGTGGTGGCTGCCACCCTTATTACCCTCATCATCTTTAATGCCGGGCTCATTCTCATCATTTTCATCTGAATCCTTCTCGCCTCTTTCCCTCTCAGAGAGAGACCTGCTTGAAAGGATTYAGGCAGGAAACTTCCCAGGAGTGCGTGGTCCCAGGGGAGGCTGCCCACAGGTACACAGAGCAGTGGACACCATCAGCCACTCACCAGGCAAAGACAGGACCTGTCCAGGTGGTGGCGCTGTGGGGAGACGGCCGAAGACACAGATGAAGGGGCGCCAGGATTTGAAAGAGAGATTTTAGGGACCATGGGGGAGAATGTATTAGAGAAGTTTTGGCCACTGTTTTTATTCCTCAGCCATTTGAAAGAGCCAAGATAATCTGACAGCAACAATGATTCAGGGCAGCAGAGCTCGTCAGAGGGATTAGGAGAAAAGAGGCCATAGAATCCGGGGGTGGGGAGGCAAGGGGGCAGGCGAAGGTGGGAAAAACTGCATGTGACATCTGTGTGTCCCAGTTCAGAAAGGAGGGGGAAGAGGACGAATCCTTTCCTTCCACAGTCATCAGCACAGAGCAGGGTAGGAGGAGATAAGACTCCAAGTGTAATCTGGAGACATGTTGAAGAGGCTTAAAGAACTCAGTCCTGTGAAATCCATTCATTGTAATGACTTATTTGCATACAGATTTCCATGAGATCAGCTCCGAGTTTGTACTGTAAACCTGGATGTTGATTTCATATTTTCTTAAATGAGTCACTCTGGCCTTGCCCTAGTCAGTGTATTATCTATGGACACTACAATGTGGTTTCTGTCCTGTTAGTGACAAGAGCCTCCCTGTCAGCTCAAGGGGAATTTTTTCCTAATAAATCTTTTTTCAGATGAACAAGCATGCCAAGAGAGATTAATCGGGTCATGAATTATTAACTTATAAACTATTAAAGAGTATTCGTAGGGAGGTTCCAGCCATTTCCACGAGGGTTTTGCCCTGTCTRACTAGAGCCGCAGCAGTCTCTCCTTGCAGGGAGAATTTTTCTGATATTTGCACCTGAGTTTTTCCTTACTTCATGCTTCCTTTTTACCAGCAGGGTTCCCCTTTAATATTGGTACTTTCAATTTATCTGTGTTAATCCCTTAGGTTTCTGATCTTTTCAAATGCAAAATTTTCCTTGGTTGCAAAGGAATTTCAGATGTTTAAAAAACCTACTTCACAGAGTTAGTATTTAGCTTTTGAAAAGCCAAGGCATTAGTGATATCCATTATAATATAACTGTATCAGCACTTTTCTAACTTTTTATCACTATTAACAACTCATCAATATATTCTTTTTCAAAGTACCAAATTACCTTGCTTTATTCTATGAAAAATTTTCAGAGAAAGTTTTAGGTAAATAGAAATTTTAGGTCATCAAATGAATCATCACATAGTACAGAAGAACTTGATATTCTAAATTATCTATATGTCAAGATATATACACACCATACATATACATACATACATGAATACATATATACTGTATATAATAAAAACATTGCAATAGAATTATAGCTGTATTCATATTTAAATGACCCATTATTTAAGATTAAAATCTCTTGCATTATCTTTTTTTTTTAATTTCTGGTTATAGGTGGACACAATATCTTTATTTATGTGGTACTGAGGATTGAACCCAGTGCCCCACATATGCTAGGCTAGTGCTCTACCTCTGAGCCGCAACCCCAGCTCTCTTTCCTTATATTATTTTGAAACAACATACAATGTAAGTTGGAAACTAATAACGCTGCCTTTCAAAATCATTAATTTCTTAAACAGGACATTAAAGTTCTATCCATAAAGGTGAAAAATGATACATTGTCATGCACTACATGACATTTCTGTGCCCAGTGGCCCATGTATATGGCTATGGTCCCATAAAACTGTATCACCATTTGACCTTGTAGCCATCTTAGTTGGTGTAAGTACACTCTATGGCAGTCTCACAACAAAGTCACCYAACAGTGTATTTCTCAAGACATATACCTGTCATGAAGTGATGTATGATCATCYTGTACTGAATTAAAATTATGAACTCTAATTCATCAAAAAATACCACTAAGGTAATGAAAAGGTTGGTCACAGACATGGAGACAATATTTACAATACATTGATCCCACAAAGGATTCATAATGTAAGATATATTAAAACTAAGTAAAAACTATGAGTCCACAAAAAAATGACAGAAATCCAATAAAAGAATGGGCAGAAGCCTCCCACAGGCACTTTACAAAAGAAAAAGAGCCAATAAATAAATGAAAAAGAAACGTGGTCACCTGTGAAATGCAAATTAAAAACCACAGTAAGATACCATTGTGTACCCACCAGAATGATTGACATCAAAGACTGACACTATCAAAGACTGGCCACGAGGACATGGAGAAGCTAGAACTCATACATTGCTTGTGATACAACACTGGCAAAGGTGAACAGATGCCTGTACCCAGCACTGCCACTCCTAGGTGTCACCCAACAGAAATGACTTGTGCAAGAGATGTGTATGAGAATATTCAGTAATGGTATATCTAGATCAGAGGTCAGCAACTACCTCCCACAGCTATTATTTATATGGCTAAGAGCTAGAAATGCTTTCTACACTTTGAGTGGACTATTAAGAATGTGTGACAAAGACCATACAGAGCCCACAAAGCTAAGAGATGTGATATCTGGCCCTTACCGAAAGAAATATTTGCTGACCCTTATTCTAGTTCTAAAACTGGATACAAGGCAAATATCTATCAACAATAGAATAAGTAAATAAATAGTGGTATGTTTACATGATGAAATATTATACAGAATAGGAACAAACAAGCTACTAGCATACAAACAACAGGAGTAAATCTCACAAATGAATGTGAGGAACAATGAGCCAGACACAGAAAGTACATATTGTACACATTCATTTATATAAAGGTCAAGAACAGGCCAAAATCGCCTGTGATGTCAAAGTCCAGATCATGGTCACTGCTGGGGGAGGGGTGGGCAGTGGCATGACGGGTAACCCTGAGGTTCTGGTTAACTTTCTGTTTCTTGACCTGGGGGTGTTGGTCACTGTTACGTCCACTTTGTAAAACTTCATGGAACTGTCGGTTAGGATTTATAAGTCTTACATGTTAATAAAAATTTTATTTAAAACGTCGTGCTACACGTAGGCTAAAAAGTGTCTGGCCCGTGATGGAACTGTACCAACCACAGAGTTCTGCTTCTCCACCACTGGACGCGCATCTGCTGATGGCCTTCTCCCTGACATTCCTGGCTTTTCCACCACATCTATATCTGACTTGGATCAAACATATCCATGGCCTCTTATCCAGTCTGGTCACTTAACTGGCAGTTTCTTCATAACCATTAATAGGCCTTACTACACAACAAGCTTTTGCAGAACTTGGTCTGAGATCCTGTGGGCTTGGTACTTTGGGTATCTTGGACACCAGGCCTTCTGAAACTGTGCATATGGCCTAAACACTACAAGTTTAAGTCTGTGGATACTGTAAAGAGTCTTCTTATCCTATATCAAGCCATATTTCCCACCCCCTCTCTTTCCCAAGGGGGTGTCCACCGTCTAGAGTCAGTGGAAGAATATAATGAGCTGATGGTGCGCCACGGAGACCCCCGGGCCAGGATGCTGGAGGTCTCCCGAGATGGCCGGAAGCACTCCCTGCCCCAGCTACTGGACTCCGGAGCATCGCAGGTCAGTCCTGGGCCACGGGGTGTCTCACTCAGTCACAGCCACAGTTGCTTAGTTGGAGAGCAGGGTTACCAGCCTCTGGGTCTCCAGGCTTTCTTCTTCTTCTCCTAACACATGGTCTACTGTGTGAAGAAGAACCTCCCATCTGTGTGGGCCATGAGAGAGGGTGGAGACGGTATAGAGAGGGAGGTCTACTCAGAGAGACTGGAAGGAAGAACCCTAATAGGTGAAAAAAGTTAGAAAAGAAAGAGAACCTCCATTGCATCTCAGCCTCTCATTCCCCCTGCTGCTGTGGATTTTGGAACCAAGAGTCGATTTCGACTGCCAGCAGACAATGGCGTCTCACAGTCTGTGGTGAACCACCATGGCTTATTTAATGGGCGCATCGGGTGTCAGCGTAACAACTGTGGGGCTGGGGTCTGCTGGAGCCTGGGCCACGCCTGGGGCCTACCTACTCCATGGTGACAACTCACACAGCCAGGGTCAGGACGGGCTGCCCAGAGCGGTGAAGTAGCTGGTTAAGTTAATATTCCAAGCCTGTTCCCCTCAGAGCACTGGGCTCCGTGACCCTGGGTGGGGGCTCCTCCTCAACTGTAGTATCCCCAACCTACTAGAAACTGGGTAGACGGTCTCACAACCGAGTTGGCGGCAGGCTCAGTTTCTAGGGAACTTGTGGGGTTCTTTGAGTCCTGGTCCCATGGGCCAGAGGACAGTAGTGGAGACATTGGCATTGTATCCCCAGGCCTACGACGAAGCAGAGCTGGAGGAGGAGGAATAGCACCAAGGACACCCTAAGTGCCTAGAGACTCGCAGATGGTATTCTTACGGTCTTGGATCAGGTGTTCTAGGTTGAGCCCTTACTTTTTGTGTGTTATGACCATTTTGCACCTGTGACAACTGAATCTCAAAGAGGTTAATTATTTCACTCAAGGTGATTTGCCAGAGCCTCTTTTGTTTAAAAGTGCATGAATACAGGTGGCTATAAATCAGGGTCAAGTATTTCTCTTGCTTCTGTTGCTCTTTACCTGAACCAGGAAAAAAATAAAAATGTTCATGTTTCAGAGCCAGTTACTGATCAGGGTCTTTTGTATTGCATTCACCCAAAGGGGAGTGAGGCACTGAGAAAGAGTAGCAAGAAAGAATTGMATAGGGCTGGGCATGGTGGCACACACCTGTAATCCCAGCAGCTCAGGAGGCAGAGGAAGGAAGATTGCTAGTTCAAAGCCAGCCTCAGCAACTTATTGAGGCCCAAAGCAACTCAGCGAGACCCTGTCTCTAAATAAAATATTTAAAAAGCCTGGGGAGGGCTGGGGTTGTGGCTCAGCGGTAGAGCGCTCATCTAACATGTGCGAGGCCCTGGGTTCCATCCTCAACACCACATATAAATAAATTAATTAAATATCTTTTAAAAAGTGTGTGTGTGTGGGGGGGCTAGGGATGTGGCTCAACGGTTAAGCACCTCTGGGTTCAATCCCCAGTACCAAAAAAAGAATTGCGTAGGATCTGTTAAAGCTCATCCAGACCTACAACTAGGGACAGACAGGTCTGTGGCCTGCTCAGAATGATCCCATTGGACCCACTGAGAAAGAGAAAGACCAGAAAGTGGTAGGAGAGGAAACAGGTTAGGCTCTTTTAGTGTGGAAGATGAGAGAAGGTTACTACCATCAGGGTCGCAGATCTAGCATTAAGGTGGTAATTTCATAACTGACTTGTTAGGCAACCTGACCAGATTTATAGTCCAAGAAAGGTTCATTTCTAATCGATCTCCAGAAATCAGGAAACTTGTGCTAGTAAAGAAAGAAAAKAATTTTTCCTTCTTCAAATGTCCTTTCTCTTGATTTCTTATTTTCTGCCTGCAGGATTCACCTTTCTTTTTATCGGTTTTCTCCCTCCACTAAAAAGTATCCTTACCTGGAGTCGAGGTATCCAGTGACACTGTCCACAYGGTTGGAAGTGCTTTGTATCTGTACTGTCCAAGATGGTAGCCGCGTGTGACTACTGAGCACATGAAAAGTGGCTAGTGAGACCAGTTTAATTTAAATATAGACAGCCAGTGTGGCAGGTGATAACCATATTAGGCAACACAGGTCTTGAAAATGGAGGGGGACCCCTGAAACTCTTGGAGAGACCCATGAAGTGGGCAGGCTTTGATACTCACTGGTTCCCAAAGGGAAATGGAATAAGGTAGTGCTGAAGATTGGTCATCAGCAGAAGAATTCCCTGGTCAGGTCACACGGAGATCTCTTTATTTGAGGGTTGGAAGCCAATAGGCTGTATCTGGTGCCTCTGCAATGGTTTCAGTAAAAGGGTAGTGACCTTGCCAAGCCCACCACATCATTTATTTAAYGAGCCCAAGTCTGGGAGGCCCACATTACTGGCAGATATTTTGTAAAACTACACAGTATAATTTTCTAAGCTGCCAGGAATACAAAAATATTATTGGGGGACATCTCATTTCTACCTTGGAGGGTAGCATATACGAACGAAGGATAAAAAGCTATTTCGTGATATCTCTTTCCTCATTAAATATGAAATGATTATTTTTGGCTTGTGCTAGAATATCTGGGTCATTTAAAGCATTTATTATTTTAAGAAGAATAACAAGGAGCTAGAGTGCAAGAGTGTGTTAGCCAGAGTCACTTAATCTCTTGTTTATATTGTAAATCGTGCACCTGGCTAACACACGGGAATATCATGGGCGAGGGACATGAAAAGGGGATTGAGATTTGAGCTGCTGAGTGCCAGGAAGGGAAAGTGGGGCTTAGGGGAAAATATCTTATTTTCCAAATGGGAGGGATTAGATCTTAAGCGGCTGCCGTCTCTCCGCGGGATGTTTTATGTGGAATAAGTTGTCTGGGTTTGTGGTTTGCGCTTTATAAGAAACAAGGGCTCTCTGAGTTTTTGAATGAGTGAATTAAAATGGTGAGAGACTTTCTAACCATGTGAAGTCGGGATTCAGAAGGGGGGGGATTTCTGAGGAGGGACTGACCCTGGGCAGTCATCCTGTATCTTTGAGGCCTCTTGGTTCCTAGTTCCTGACTTCATTCCAACACTGCAATCTGTGGGACGTGGCCAAGAAAGAACACAAGGTGCTCGTGGGCTCCACGCAATACTTTTTATTTTTTTTCTTTWTAAATTTTTGGAGTTGTAGGACAGAATACCTTTATTTTGTTTGTTTATTTATATGTGGTGCTGAGGATCCAACCCAGGGCCTCACACATGCTAGGTGRGCGCTCTGCCACTGAGCCACAACTGCAGCACTTCTCTTTRTGAGGGAGAACACCTGGCTGGCTGTTACAGCGGAGGTTTCTTTAAGCCACTGAACCGGAGGATGCACCCCAGGGAAGTTGCTGTCCCACACAAAAGACAACTGAGAGTTTCCAAGTTTGGGTGATATATTTGCATACCAGAGCCCACGGCAGGCAGGATGAATGAGATTATGTCTGGTCTTGTCATCTGCTTTTAGGAATACCACATTGTGAAGAAATCCACCCGCTCCCTAAGCACCACCCATGTGGAATCTCCCTGGAGACTCATTCGCCCGTCTGTTATCTCCATCATAGGCCTGTACAAAGAAAAAGGCAAGGTGAGCTCTTCCCACGGTCTGTTTTGCCCTCTAGGTGGTACCATCTACTTCTTCAATGGCTAATTTTAATTTTATTTTTATTATTTTTTTTGTGAAATTAAAAGTAACAAGTATAAGGAAGGATAGACCACGTGGCCTTCATGTGGATTCTCGGCAATGTTTCCTRTGGACCTCAGAGTGTGAGACGGTCATACCCTCTTTGCCTTTGTGTTGTGAGGAGTCACCAGTGCCCAGCTGCTAGGGAAGAATCCAGGGTGGAATGAATGACCCTCAACCACTTTTGTTTGTGTGTTTTTGAGAACTGAGTCCATGACCCCTAATTTTTACCTCCATTGAAAGAAACGCAGAACCAGTTTTGCTTCAGGGAATACTTCCCATGTCCTTTCGAGTGAATTTCTTGGCATTACCACTATCAAGGAATTATATGAACAATTTGGTATTCAACAACTATCAAAATATCCACTTTGATGTTATATAAAGTGGAAACACTGAACCAAAAGGGAAAAAAAAGTGTGGCCTTGCATAGTGTGAAATGACTCTCAAGCTATCCAGTTGATACATATGAAATTGGCTTTTTTTGGCGGGGGGGGGGGGGGGGCTGAGAATTGGTCCCAGGGGTGTTTAACTACTTAGCCACATTCTTGACCCTTTTTTATATTTTAGAAACAGGGTCTCACTCATTTGCTAAGTGCCTCAATAAGTTGCTGAGGCTGGCTTTGAACTCACAATCCTCCTGCCTTGGCCTCTCAAGCTGCTGAGATTACAGGCATGCGCCACCATGCCCAGCGAAATTGGCATTTTAGGAGGTCAAAAATTGTCAAATATTAGCAGGTCCATGTGTTTCAACCTATGATTTTCTCCCTTTAATGTAATGCATAGCTAGTATGAGAAGTGACATTTATAAATTCAGACTTGTCACTTGAGATAGCGACAAGTCTGAATTTGTAAAATTCAAACTTGAATTTACAGCTAATTGACGGGCTTAACACTGGGCCTGATGAGAAAGGACACCTCAGTTGAATACTAGGTAGGAGAGATGCCCTTGGTTAAGTGCTGCAACAGGAAAGACGTGATGTCGACCTGACTCCCATCTGCTTTGAATGTAGGGCCTTGGCTTTAGCATTGCTGGTGGTCGAGACTGCATTCGAGGCCAGATGGGGATTTTTGTTAAGACCATTTTTCCAAACGGATCAGCTGCAGAAGACGGAAGACTTAAGGAAGGTAGGAGAACACATCTTGGTGATCTGCCAAGACACTGAGCTTTGATCCCATGAGAATCTGCCCCTTTCAGAAAATGGAGCCAGTGGCCCCACAGCGGAGGTCAGGGGCATGGGAGTCCTGCAGACCAGCACCTCCTCATTGTGATCTTGAGCAGTGGTGTCATCTGAGCTTTCCTTTCCCAGTGGTGAACTTGGAACCTTAATACCTGCCTTGAAGGATTGTTGTGAGAATTAAAAGAGACATACTCAAAGTGGCTTGATATGTGTATTGGGGACCACAAGTGCTAATTTTGTCCACCTGCTCCATGGTCCTTCATTGTGTTCCTTGTCTGTACTCTTCCTGAGAGTTCAGTCCGTTCTCACCTTGGGGCTAGTGTGAAAATAGAGAACCTAATCTTTAGTAGCCATTTACTATCCTACTGTTGAAATCAACCACCATGTAGTTTGGTTCCTAAATGAACATCTTTTACAATTCTCTCTAGCATCTACCATTTTGCAACACAAAAATAACACTAAACAAGTGCTTTTGAATGCAAGTTAGAGTAATATTGAGGTGCCAAGTTTTACCTTGAGAACAAAATTTTTAAATGCTTCAGTACATCTTATGTCTTGTAATGCTTTAAACATTTACTATACATTTCCATATATTTCAATTATTTCGTTAACTGTATTACAAGCCTATCGAGTTGGCATTTTGGACTGATCGTACAAGTGAGGACACTAACACTCGGGAATGTTAAGTGTCTAAAACTTTGTCCCACCCTTAGTAATGAAAGCAGTGAAATTCAAATCCATTTTTCTGATCCCAAGTTCAATTCTCCCCACCTTACTACCCAAGACTAACTCATTTCTTCCTTCTTGAACATGATACTTCAAAAAACAAGATTTGAATACACCAAAATTTCCTTTGTATTCAGACATACTACAAGCTGCTTTTAATAAAGGTAGAATCTTCCTATGCATGTTTGCATATTTGTATATTTGCCACAGAATATTATTCTGGATTAAGACTATTTTTTCTTTTAATTGGTTCATTGTTGTTATACATAATTTAGGATTCATTTTGACATAATTATAAAAGCATGGAATGTAATTCATTCTAATTCAGTCCCCAGTACTTTCCCTCTCCCTTCCCTCCTCCCTCCCATTCCTCTGTGCCTCTGATCTTTCTGCTATTGTTTTATAGTTTTGTTTTGTTTTTTAATTAATGTCTTGTGGATGTACTCAATGGTGAGATTCACTGTGGAATATTTATATACAAACATAGGAAAGTTAGCTCCGATTCATTCCACTGTTTTTTCTCATCCCATCCCTTGTTCCCTCCCCTTCAATCCTGCCCTCCCCCTTTTGTTGGCAAGGATGTGGGAGGAAAAAGGTACACTCATACATTGTTGGTGAGACTGCAAATTAGTGCAAGTGCTCTGGAAAGTAGTAGGGAGATTCCTCAAAAAACTAGGAACAACCATTTGACTCAGCTATCACACTCCTCGGTATTTATCCAAAGGATTTAAAATCAGCATGCACAGTGATGCAACCACATCAATGTTTATAGCAGCACAGTTCCCCAACAGCCAAGCTATAGAGCCAACGTAAGAGTCTTCTACAGATGAATGGTAAAGAAGAATTCATAAAGAAAAACTTTATGACATTTGCTGGTAAATGGATGGGATGGGAGACCATCATGCTAAGTAAAATAAGCCAGACTTGGAAAGTCAAAGGTTGAATATTTTCTCTGATAGGCAGAAGCTAATCCAAAATAAAGGGGGAAAGTTTAAAAAAAGAAAGACTATCTACTTTCATAAAGCACATTAACAAATTCTGAACACATTTTAAAGAACATTCACCAAAATGTCAATCATGATTTTCCCTCCCTTATTATTATTCATCTTTCATGAAATGATTAAATCAGAATATTTCTAGATACCTTCGAAAATGAACTGCTCTGACTCTTCAGTTCATTCGACCCAAATTGTAGCCACTGCTGTATTTTACTGATTTACTTTTTTTTTTTTTTTTTTGGTGGTGGTGGTGGTCCTGGGGATTGAACCCAGAGCCTTGTGTATATGAGGCAAATACTCTACCAACTGAGCTATCCCCATCCCCTCCCCTTTCTTTTAAGGTAGAAAAACCATAAAGCCTATACTAACAACAAGATGTGGCCAGGCTTAGTACTCCTAGGGCAAAACATTTATTTCTCTCTCTTGGAGGAAGGGTTAACACCCAGGTGGTGTTTATGTCTAGTTTCAGAACAATATAAAATTATCTTGTGTTTATTGGATTGAAAGACATCCTTCAAGACTGTTTTATTTTTTCATATGTGTTCCTTTATGAGAAATGTAAGTCATCAGAACAGATTTTCAACCTGCCTTATCTACAGAATTCCTTTTTTCTTTTTTTCTGTAATTGTAAATGGACAGAATGCCCTTTTTTAAAAAAAAATTTTTTATTTTATTTATTTTTCAGTTATTGGCAGACACAACATCTTTGTTGGTATGTGGTGCTGAGGATCGAACCCGAGCCGCACGCATGCCAGGCGAGCGCGCTACCGCTTGAGCCACATCCCCACCCCAGAATGCCCTTTTTTGTTTGTTTGTTTTTATGTGGCACCAAGGATCAAACCCAGTGCCTCACCCATGCTAGGCAAGCACCCTGCCACTGAGCTACAGCCCCAGCCCCTACAGATTGAATCATATGCACAGTATGCTTCTGGGATTGGCTATCTGTGAGAGGTGAAATGTGTGTTCCCAGGTTGGTTGGCACTTTCTTTTAGGTATACAAATCTCCCTTCCCTACGGCGTTGGCTCACGAAGTTCATCTGTACTCTCTGGGGCTTCTTCAGAGTATTTTTGTTGAACTGTCATTCAGAAAAAAAACAAACAGCAACAACATAAAACAGCCCCTGTCATAAGAGTGCAAACCAGAAATGAGTTCTTACAAATCGACAAGATGACCAGGGTCTTTTGGATTCCCAGCAGACACTACCCACAGCTTAAAAAATGACCTGCCCTTCCCTCCTTAGTGTTGGAGATTGGAGTAGCTTGAGGAGGCCAAGAGGCAAGCCAGCGTGTGCAGGCCCATGCCTCACAATCAGACATCACCTTAGAGTTATCTGACATCACCCTACAGTTATCTCTGAGACAGAAGCCTACAGTCGCTTGCCAGCTCGATGGTGGAGAACCTGGAACTGCATCAATAAGACCAGACATCTACACTGTTTCTGAAAGCCAGGCTGCTGTTTCCCAATAATATCTCAGCAAGTTTTTTGACTCTATTATTGAAAATGTTTTTCATACACTGTGGATTTGGGGAGCTTGTCTCTCAGCAAATACAGGACTTTATATTTGCAATTTGATCTCTAAACATAGGATATGTTGTCAAACTTGACAATGACTAAAATAATAATAATAAGAAGAAGATCTTGTTGATGTTTTCATTGAAGACTGGAATACAGAATTACTGCAAAGGAAAATGAATTTTCATTAACTGTCCCATTTTTGTGACATGCCTGGGAGTGAAGTGTAACAATAAAAGTTACTTTATAAAGTAGCAAATCAAGGACCATATTCTGTCTCATTCTAGCACAAACCATGCACTTAGATTCCAGTAAATCAAAGCTTAATGTTAATGTGATTCTTATTTTATGTCACTAGGTGATGAAATTCTAGATGTCAATGGAATACCAATTAAGGGCTTGACGTTTCAAGAAGCTATTCATACCTTTAAGGTAACACCATACCTGTTGATTGATCTCCTTTGTCCTCTTTCTTCTTCCTTTATTTCCTTCTGGTGTGGGTTGGATGAAATGCTTTCCCCCCTTTGCCCTAAAAAACAGTCTGATTGTTTGAGGCCACCTTCTTTCTTGTTTTTGCAGCAAATCCGGAGCGGGCTGTTTGTCTTAACAGTTCGCACCAAGTTACTGAGCCCCAGCCTCACACCCTGCTCGACCCCCACACACATGAGCAGATCGAGCTCCCCAAACTTCAACACCAGTGGGGGAACCTCAGTGGGAGCCTCTGACGAAGGCAGCTCTTCATCCCTGGGTCGGAAGGCCCCTGGACCCAAGGACAGAATTGTCATGGAGGTCACTCTCAACAAAGGTGATTCTTGCTGTTCCTCCCTTCCACTGGGTTCTCTGGATAACAATTTAAAATCTCTTCTTACATTAAGTGTTTCTAAGTTTTCCTTTGAATTGTTCCTTTGGGACCATTTGCTATCAACAACAGACAGTGTTCTCTAAGTGGACAGGGGGAGCAGAAGTAGAGATTTTAGTCATTTTACAAGTGAGGAGAAGTTACCCATAGTACAAACTCTCTGAGCTCTCCCAGATGAATCACTGTGAATCAGAGACTCATGTTAAAACAAAATTACTGAGTAGCTTAAGTCTAGGGCTTATATAAAATTTTAAAAAACTAAAGATTATAGTTAAGAATACGCAGTTAACACCAGTAACTAGAAGTTATGGGTGATCACCAAATCTTACTGCCTTTAATCTTTGTTTGCTTTTTTCCTCACCTATGGAGATATGGTCAGCAATTAAATAACCAAGAGATACATTGCTTAAAAAAGAGGCAACAAAAGCCTAAAAGTGTGTATATCTAGAATAAAAATGTTACTGATGCTCTGCCTATTTCCAAAAACAGATTTGAGCCAGCCTTAGACTAAGCAGAGAATAAACACTTGGATAAAAGAAGAGCAGGATATACATTCTGATTCTGACCCAAAACTAAATGCTTACCTTCTGAATGTATGTTAGTACAGTTGCAAATAAGTTAACTTCTTTTCCGGTTACTGTGATTTTTGCTTTTGTTTTCTTTGAATTATGCCTCTCACAGAGCCAAGGGTTGGACTAGGCATTGGTGCTTGCTGCTTGGCTTTGGAAAACAGTCCTCCAGGCATCTACATTCACAGCCTTGCCCCAGGCTCAGTGGCCAAGATGGAGAGCAACCTGAGGTGGGTGGTACCCCTGAGAGGAGAGGGTTCTGGCATGTTTGTGAATATGTGATTGCACACACACGTATCTGCTGTGCTACATTCCTTTGTAGAATTATACATCTTTGAATTATTTCCAGTAATATAGCCAAGACTACCATTCATAGCCTCTCTGAAGACATAAAGCTGACGTAAATGAAGTGTGGCTGAATCTGAGAACTCTGGATCTTGGTTTCCCTGTCTGTTCTGTTCTATTTGGACTCAGAAGTTTAGTTTTAGAATCCTGACAAAATACAGCTCTCTGATTATCTCAATATATTCTTTTACTTTTATATTCACTTATACAAAATTCAGACAAGGTACCGGAACTGCTCATAGTGGTCCAGAATCACTGGATGCAAAAGAATCTTGAAATCATCCCCTTGAATGGGAGGCCTTTCTTGTTATTATCTCTTGAACTTTTTCCATTGCTTTCACTCCTGTGTGAGCGGTGATGTCTAGGTGCCTGTGGTCTGAGATCATGGGGCGTCTGATTTCTTAATCCAGGTAGTTGAGTTGTATCATGAGTATTCTGTTTATACAGGAGATGTCTACGTGTTCCATTATACAGGAATTGCAGTGGTTGGTGCCTGCCTTCACAGGAATGTACACGCACTGTACAGAGCACTCTGCAAACAGTACCACCTCTCTCCCCTATAAGCTAAGACCTTCCGCAGTTGAAGAATTGTCACAATGGCATTCCTTGAGGTTGCCATTTTAGGGCCCTGTTAATAGGTGATATTATATTTTTAGTTAATCATCACAGTGAATTTTCATATTTTAAAAAAACTTAGTAAATCGTCCAAAGTACATTAAAGAAAATATACTTTTAGAACCCAAGGAAAAAAGAAAAAAAATCCTTTAATGACATCCCAAGATGATGTTTCTTTCTTGAATGGTTCCATATGTCTGGAGGCTGCCAAATGAACATTCTTCAAACCCCATGTAAAGAGTCTTTGTTCTGTCTTACTGAGTTCTCTCCCTATAATTTCAAGTGGGCAACTTGTCCCCAATTTCTCATTTTTTCAAATTTGAAACGTTTTTACAAATTCCTGAGTAACCTTTGAGCTCCAGATATTTCCTCCTTAAATTATATTACAATAATCATTTCAAGATGGTGGGAAGAAAGAGGAAACTGGTGGTGGTCGAGAGCCTGTCACATGATGATCAAGAGGCAAACAGAGCTGAGTTAGTTCAACATGGTGTGACATCTGGGTGACCTACTGAGCCTGTAGCCTTACCTACATAATGGAGCAATAGTTATGCCTTTTCAAAGCATTGCTACATAAATTTCTTGCTATAGGGCCTGGCATACAGGATGTGCTTAAAAAATAGTAGCCTTCCTTGTTTCCTTGTTAACTATGTTATTTAGCTTTACTACTTCTGAAAATGATATGGATAATTGCCTTTGCCAGTTGAAAATCGTACATTTTTATATGAATGTGTTGCTTTTTTTTTTTTTTACATGTGTGCAGAAACCTTTGTTTTCTTTGCTAGATCCCCACCATCTTTATAAATCACTGAATTTTTGTACCTTTGTCATGACTGATTTGTTTTTCATGGGCCTGGAGATAGAACCCAGCCCTCATGCATGCTAGGCAAGTACTCTACCAGTGAGCTACATCTCCAACCCTCATGACCATAATTTTTTTTCTTCTTCTTCTTCTTTTTTTTTGGTACTGGGGATTGAACCTAGGGACACTTAACCATTGATCCATATCCCCAAGTCTTTTCTTTTTCTTTTTGTTTTTTTGAAACAAGGTGTCACTACGTTGCTTAGGGACTTGCTAAATTGCTGAGGCTGGCTTTGAATTTGTGATCTGCCTCAGCCTCCCAAATTGAGACATTACGGGTGTATGCCACTGCACCTAGCTTATGACTATAATTTTAAAGCAAAAACACAACATCTTTATTTTCATCTGTCTGTATTCTTACAGGTGCATGTGTAGGTTCATATGTGATATGTTTTGGCAGCATGTATGTTTATAAATGTGTTTATATATTGTCTACATTGTACCACAGTTCTATAAATATTAAATACCATGCAACAAAAAAAACACACAACTTTTCTCTCAGAATCACAAAAGTTAGGAAGTTTGTAACTAAAAACGAGAAAATTAACTGGTTGTAATTGAGAGGAGTTAATAAATGTAATATTAAACTATAATTATGTTTTAGAGCACAAATATATGTTTGCTTAAGTTTTCCAAGTCTCTTTGAGAGCTACACCCTTAGTCTGAATAAACTAAATGAAATGATAGCTATTCAGTGACTACATAGGACACTTCCAAATAAGATAAAATATTAAAACAGTCATTGCTAAATCTAGGTTTGTGTTTATCCACCTTTGGCTTTGTTACAGGCGTAAAAAGGATGCTAAAAGATGGTGGTCATGGTACAATTAGGAACACACAAATTTAGGCCTAATAGGAAAAAAAAACATGAATGCAAAGATGAGAGGATGATATTTACTTCTTGAAAGTATTCAGAAAAGATTTCATGATAAATCTCTCATAGAAGGAAGACTTCTTGTCTTTTAAAATGCTGATTTTACCACAAATTGTTGACTATGTCGTCCTCCCTAGCCGCGGAGACCAAATCCTGGAAGTGAACTCAGTCAACGTTCGCCATGCAGCTTTGAGCAAAGTGCACGCCATCTTGAGCAAATGCCCCCCGGGACCCGTCCGCCTGGTCATCGGCCGGCACCCTAATCCTAAGGTGAAGTGTTCCATTCTACTCTGTGCATGGGAAGGTGGCTTAGCCATTTGTCCAGCAGTAGTGACTCATATTCCTAGACTGACACTAAGTATGAGGCTAACTAATTGATTTTTAAAGTAGGTTCAGTGAACTTTAAACTTTTTTGAAGAAATGAGAAAGTGACAAGATGGAAATAGTATGAAATTACATTTCTGTAATAGTTGGAACAATGATTATTCAGAATGTAATTTAAACTTGGACGATACCCTTAATTCACTTATACCAATGACTGTTTTTGCATTTCTGTAGGATGTCTAGAATACAGAATTTTTCAAGGACAAATGTCTTTTAGATTTGAAGAGAAAGGTTTCCTTCTTAATGCTCATTTAGTTGTTTGTTGGGCCAAAAAAACTACCTGTTTATCCTATCAAATGACTGTCTCACACAACTTAAAGAAATGAAAGTAAGATGAAATCTGGCTTTGCAAACCAATTGCTTCCTTGCAAATATTTGTGGATTTTGCGTCCATCAAAGGAAATGAGAGAGCCCAGCATTTCAAATAAACCACAGTGGAGAAGTTGTTAAGTGTATTCAGTATTACAGAAGATCCTATTTTTCTGTCCAGTGGACCCAGACTAAATTTTTAAGTTCATCATGGTGTCTTTTCCACTAACTACTACCACAAATGTTCTCAAACCAACCTATGTAGCATGTGTTAGTCAGCTTTCTGTCACTATGACAAAATACCTGAGAAAATCAACTTAGAGGAAGAAAACATTTCAATCCATGATCAACTGGCTACATTGTTTCCGGGCCTGTGGTGAAGCAGAACATTGTGATTGGAAGGGTGTGGCAGAAGAAAGCTGATTAGCTCATGCAGCCAGGAAGCAGAGAGAGAAAGAGCACAAGAAAGGGATGGAGGACAAGATATACTATAGGGCACAATACCAATGACCCCCTTCCTCCAACTAGGCCCCACATCTTACATTTCTACCACTTCTCAATAATGCCATCACATTATTAATCCATCACTGGATTAATCCACTGATGAAATCAGAGCCCTCATGGTCTAATCACTTCCCAAACTTTCCACCTGTGTACAATGCTGCATTGGGGACCAAACCTTTAACACATGGGTCTTAAACACTTCATATCCAAACCCTAGCACAGCATAAATACATATTGAAGTTCTCCCAGACATTTAGCATATATTCACATTATCCAGCGCTGGTTTTGCCTGTTCTGCTGAAGACACATTCTGAAAGTGGGAGTCTTTTCTTGGCATGTCTCATGAAAGCAGCCCCGAAGAAGAGAACAGGAACCATGTGCAGTGTAAAGTCAGTAGCACATGCAGATCACTGCAGCTCAGCCCATTTTCTGGTGGTAATGATGCCCATGTAGTTTTCTATTGAGAATGAACCATTAAATGACCTTTTCTTGGTTCCAAGGTTTACTTAATTAGGAAAGAGGAAAGATCTAACACTAGTAGCTCAGCTATAAGTACCAGCAGCCCGTGTAAACCTGATACCAAACAGAAGAGGCAGAGTGGGTGAGCTGGAATGGGTGTGGAGGCTGGAAGCAGGCAGGAGGCCAAGCATCCAATTAGTGGAACAGAGAGCCTGACCTTCCCTGTCTCCACGCTGCCCGTGTGATCCGATCCTCATCAATCCCTGTCCTATGTCAAATTCATTATCTAACATTTATTGAACTTCCACTGTTAACATGCCAGAGCTGCACAGAGGAGTTAGAATGTATCCCAAGTCCAGAAACTTATATTCTTAATCTGAAGGGGTTCTTAACCTGAAGTCGGTGGACCTTTACTAGAACTTTACAAATGACATAATTTGGGAACATATTTACATTTGTGGATGAAGTCAACAGGTTGCATCAAATTCTCAGTCATTTCTGACCCCTCAACATGTTAAGGTGTTAAACAGATGGAAAAGGAGACCCAGCTTAAAGAGAGGCCTCTTCCTCTGTCCAGGTCATCCTTGGCCTGCACAGATACTCTGTCAATAAGACCAAAGAGTCCATTAATTTTTTCTTTTTCAACAGCAGCATCACATTGTTGATCCATACTGAACTTACAGATAATTGTAACCCATAAGTCATTAGTCTCTGCTATTTGGTTCCGTCTCTTCTGTAATTCCATAGTTGCTTATAATTTTTTCAAGTTAACCACAGGACCCTTCAGCAACTTCCACTCAATCCACTTAGAGCACCATTTTTGGTTGTTTTGAGTCCATGACATAAAAATATTGTAAAGTTAGTTTGCCCCTAAAATTACAATCAGGTCCTATTTAGCAAAATCTAGACTTTTCCTTTAAACAACTCAAAATGTCCATTAAGAACATTGGAACCCCACGTCTGTCACATTGCCCTGCCTTTTATATCATTTGTAATATTATTCAATTATATACTGAATGGTCCCAGGCTACCAATGTTTGATGGATTTGTATGCCACTGTAAGAGTAAGAAGTCTGTTCCAAAGGATCTTGTGGGTTCCCTCATGGGCCACATCTGATATTTCTTGACAGCATCATTTGTAAATTCTCAGTGATGCTCCTGGATTGAGCTGGTGCTTCCCAGTGCACATAAGTGCTATTGAGCTGTAACTCTATGCCTCGATCTGGGGGGTGCGGCAGCAATAACAGTGCTAGGAATAAGATGGCCCTTGAGTGATTCAAAGGCAACTGCCTTGCACATTGGTTCTGTTACCTATATGCATTCTCAGAAATGTCTTGCATCAAAAATATTTGGTATCATTAATATAAAACCAGGTCCTCCTTCTACTTTTTTCCTCCTTCCCATCTTTCTCCTGTCCCTTCTGTGATCCCGATACATTCTTTAAGAATCTTCTCTACTTTTTAGAATCTCTCCACTGCTGTCCCTATGGCTCTCTCTGGGTCAATTTTAACACCATTTTGTCTCATAGTTACAGAGAACAGTTCTCAGCTCCTTTCTCCAGGGTTTCCACTTGGGTTCTGTCACCCCCATCATCTCTTCCACCTCAGGAAACAGACCAGTCAGTAGTCGGCTGTGGCTGACCTAATGCATCCCTTGGCAACATTAGAGAAAATTAAGTTTTCAGTGGTTTTCAGTCATTGGCTTCAAGGCATGACTGACTTCAAAATCCTTCCAGCATAACGTGGGCCATGATTCGTTCAAGAGACCATTCATCTCGACCCCAAAGCATTTGCCTATTTGCCAACACAATCAAAAGTCAAGACAGCATTTCAGTGCAAAGCATAAGAATCCTGATAGCCTGATGGTCTGAGAGTCTGTTGGACACAGGTCAATTTGTGCTTCTAGTCACAGTAAAATGGGCTTCTGTGATAGTATGGAGATGTGTCCGGCAGAACCACATTTCGGTATTTGACTGGATTTCACGTTTCTCCCTAGGTAAACATGGTGTTCTTGGTTGTAACACCATACTATATTTTTCTTTTGGTCAAGGTTCTGTTTTATGTTCAATGTATTCTTTATACCACTTATCCCAGCATTTCATGCCAACAGAACATTTTGATACTGAATGTATGTGCTCCCTTAGTTTTTGTGTTGTTCCAAGAGAAATACCACAAGGATTTTCTTTTTCTTCGGTTTCTCATAATGTCTGGTGCAGCAGCTGCCCAATTAGGATATTTGAACCTTCCAGGTCTAGACAGGCTAAAATCTGGACCTGCTAGGGTAGCAGCTTCTAGCTTAGATTAAGTAGAAAAAAGTAACAGAAATCCATTTTTCTCCCACTCCGAAAAACTGTTGTAAATATTGAAAGCCTAGTATTAAGAAAAATAGCAAGCACTGTTTAAGCTCATATTTTCCCTGGCTCATTTGTACAAAATTCTTCTTGTTCAGGGGTGGGGGTGGTGGAAGTATATATATGCCTGTGTGTATGTATACATGTTTTATTTCTTGTGGCACCTACTATAAATTATTATGATTTATCTATTTGAAATGTAATCAATGAATCCTATAGAGAAATATTTATAATTATTAAGACAAGTCACTATACGGATGCAAATATTTACTTTTATGCCATATGTTATTTTAGTGCACAAAATTACCACTCTAAGTTTGAAGTATTCTTACCTTTAAAAAAAGAAACTATAAGTTTTCTAATTGAAATGGTATCATAGTTCAGTATATGTCATGCTTTAAAAATATCTTCCCATGAATAATGACAAGGAGAAAAACTGATAGAAAAAAAAGAATTCCATAAATCTATAATAATACTAACAAATATAGAAGGAATAGAAAAGTTACAAAATAGTTGTTTTGAAAACTTCATGGTCATAATTGATTCAGGCAAGAATAATCAATAACACTAAAATCTTGGGGTAAAAATAAATTGAGGAGCAGGGTATCTACAGTCTCAAACTGTTTCCTCACAGATTACTCATTAATGACATTCCAGTGGAAAAATCTGACAAGTTGCATCTTAACCAAAGAAATTCAAGTTATCATCACCATTTAAGAGACACATTGACCCTTAGTGCCTCTGGAAGCGCTGAGAAGGAAACTTTTTGTAGTTTTTCTGCCAAAAAAAAAAAATTAAATGCATAATCTGAATCTAAGCATGAGGAAACTATCAGACAGATCCCAATTGAGGGTTTGGGTTGGCCTGGGTTTCTTCCAAAATATCTGTATCGTGAAAGACAAAGTAAAGCTCATAACAATTTCTGATTAAGAAAGACTAAAGATGAGCGACAGCTAGAATGGATTACGTTCTGAATTGCCAAAAACGATTTTTCTGTAAAGCACTCTTATGCAGAGAAGCGGATCCATGATGGTCCCACACAGGTTTGAAACAAGAAGAGCTTGCACCAGGATGTAAACCAGTTACCTCACTGTACATGCCATTTGGTTCAGTTGACATTTTTCCCCTTGGCAAGACTTTGTTGATGAAGCAAGCCGGGTTCTAATTTGCATTCCAGATTACAGTCTTTATGTCACCACAGGTTGGTGTCAGACTTTCTGTGAACTAGTTGCAACCCACAGATACACTCAGAGTAGGTCTTCTAAAATTAGGATGGTATTGGAACAGTTTGACAGAAATTGGAATATGACATGTAAATTAAAGAGTCATCTGGGATGAATTTCCTGAATCAGACAATAGTATCATGGTTATCTGAGAGAGAGTCCTTATTTTGGGGAGTTACCCATTAAAATATTTACAAGTGAAAGATCATAAAGTCTACAACTTGCGTTTGGTTTAACAAAAAGTTGTGACTCTGTGTGCATTCACATGCATGCCTACAAAGAGAGGGCATATACATAAATGTGGCAAGTTGTTAAAAAATAGTGAATCAAGGTGAAGAATGTACTATTCTTGTACTGGTCTTCATTTTTTGTAGGCTTAAAATTGTTTAAAAGAAAGAATTGGAGTGTTCTAGAAAGAGAAGATGCAGTCATGGCATGGTACCTGAGCTTGGGAAGTCGAAGGTCTTATTATACATTCATCCTTTGAAACAACCCACTAACCCAACTGTACTTACTGTCCAGAGTTATGGCTTCAGAGGATGGTCATAATCTTTGACCATGTGATTTGCCTTTTTTTATCTGCATTCAGCTTGGACTCTGGTCTCAGCTACTTTTATTGGGGGAAAATAAATAAATAAAACCATCTAATTTGTGCTTTCTGCTGAAAATCAGGTTTCCGAGCAGGAAATGGATGAAGTGATAGCACGCAGCACTTATCAGGAGAGCAAAGAGGCCAGTTCCTCTCCTGGCTTAGGTACTGTAATTGCACATTTTCATTCAACATTCAGAAGAGTGTCTCATTAAGTTCACCCAGGGGGCGCTCCCCAGTGCAATAGTATTGGATTCTGTAATTATCAGGGTTGGTGAAAGTAGCTGTCAGAGAGAACCAGTGCTTTCTCTTAGTTGGTACTTTTTCTTTCCACGGTTATTTAATGTGCTTCATTAAAGATCTAATCATGCATGCTTCTTGTACTACTCTCAAATAATTTGCAAAAGTGAGTTAACAGCATTTCATGTATTTATACACGATTCATCAAAAATGCTGTAGATGAAAGTAAGATGATACCAAAATATGAGTAATTTGATAGATGCAGCATATTACTCATCTAAAAGCCTGAGATTTCTTTATATGAATTCAAAAAGTTTTAATGTACAGAGAGTAACAGAGGCAGCAAAAATCATGATTTGTAAGTGGAAAAAAGTTCAAGCGGAGAAGGAGTGGCCAGGAGTTTCATATGAATTTAGAACACTGTCTTGCATTTTAAAACTAATGTTTCCTGTAGCATGGAAACCTAAAGAGACTCTTCAAACATTTCTGAGCTGGAGATTTTACTGATGTTCAGATTGATGTCCCAGAGGGAAAAGGAACTGAAATATGAGTTACTGGTTGTCAGAGAAAAAGTAAGGCATAATATTTTTTGGCAACCATGAAATACCCTGATTATTTGCATCCATAATTAATATATTTGAAGTGGACTCAGCCATAATAGACTCTTTATTCAACCATTCCATTATTCTGACCTGCCTGAAAGCTGCAGTCTCTTAATCCCAACATTTCACTCTATCAGTTAGAAAAGATTTTATTAAGCATGATCCACATGCCCTAAATCTCTTTTGCTTGTGGCATAGAATTTAAAATCTAAATGCTGAGCTTTTCATCCTTTAGTTAAAAATTAAAATAGATATCCATCCCTCTCCCTAGTTCTTTCCTAAGTTTCTTGAATGGTGTTCATTTGTCCATTCATCCCTCAACCCATTCAGCAGATACCAATGAACACTTACTAGACAGCAGGTGCAATGCCCAGCTCTGTAGGGTCCAACCAGTCAACCTCTCTGCTGTACCCATTGTGAAATAGTCAAGCAAGGCAGATGAGATACATCCACTCATCACTAAAATTTCCTATGTATCTGGAAATGGAGGTGTGATGTCTAAAAGACTTTGAGAATCCAGAGAAAGAAATTACTTCTAACTGGGGTCATTATGGAAGGAGGTAACATTGGAGTCAGGTCTCAGATCATGAGCAGAGTCTTGGGAAGGAGGATGGGGTGAGTCAGGGACCCAGGTAGACTGTACGCATCTACCTATGTGCACAGTCCCTCTGTACCCTGGCAGCAAAGGGAGCTTTTGTTTAATATGTTTGGTGCCTCCTTTTCTAGTTAAGTGTGTGAGCCTCTTAGTGATTTGAACTTCATTATTTTGACAATACGGTGCATTCTCCCCCCTGCAGGTACTCCCTTGAAGAGCCCCTCTCTTGCCAAAAAGGTGAGTCGAGACATGTTGCTACCTACCCTGCTCAGCAGGACTATAACCAGGAGCCCCTAAGTCAAGCCCAGAGTGCCCAGCACATATTTCTGCCCACGAGTCCTTTATGTCACTTTTTACAGGAAATAGCAACCATGCTAATTTGAGAACAAATCCCCAAGTGTGTCTTTCACTTATTAAATATTCATCCAGGAAAAGAGTAGAGCAATAAAATTAAAGAACCAGAACTGCAGTTTTGAAAGTAGGTTTTTTTGTTTTTTGTTTTTTTTTTAACTGCTCCAATTTAAAGCAGGCCTGAGTTTTGGAGGACCTGTGACTTTAAGGAAATGGTGGAACATCTCTAAATCCCACTCTATCTGGGTGCAGGGTTCTCCCCACCCCCAATCAATGGGCTGGGCCAGTTGGCTTGGGATTTCATTCTGTGTTCTTATCCCTTCCTCCAGTGTGTTTCCTGGGATGGTTGATAAACTGCTACTGTGGCTTTTGTGATCATTGCCAAAAATGTGACCACCACCACCCCCAAACCTCTAAAACCAGGGTCTGGCAACAGCAGTCACCTTTTTATTCTGTAATCGTTAATTTAGCCATTCTGAAAAGTAAATGGAGATGGGCGTTTACTATCACAGCTGTTTTGAATGACCGTGGATTAGAACAAAGTGTTCTTGCAAAGATAGGAAGTAATTAGTTTCAAATAATCTGCTTCTGGTACATTTTCTGAGAAAGCGGAGACATCCAGCATTTTCTTCTCCAACAGGACTCCCTTATTTCTGAATCTGAATTCTCCCAGTACTTTGCCCATGATGTCCAGGGCCCCTTGTCAGACTTCATGGTGGCCGGCTCCGAGGATGAGGATCACCCAGGAAGTAGCTGCAGTGCCTCTGAGGACGGCAGCCTGCCTCCCAGCTCCTCCAGTAAGCAGGAAGCGCCAGTGGGCCCTGGGCTCTGCATTCCAATAACCACGTGCTAGTTTGCACCTCTCCCCTGGAGGCTATGGTGGTTCAACTCCCCCTGGTGCTAAAATGTGAATGGAGGACTGGAAAGCATGCCTCTGGATGAACAGAGGTCATCTTTCCACCCTGACTAAACACAGAGTTTACTCTTGGTCGATGCAGCCACTGTAATGATGGGCCACTCAAGTGGACAGTAAATGGGCTGAGTGCACACTCCATTCATTCCCAGGTGGGGAAGGTTGGCTACCCCATGATGCAGATGGAGAGACCTCAGGTGATGGAAAGGCCCAGGTATGGGGGACACATCATTGGATAATTCCTTCTAGAGAGGAATTATCCACAGCAGCATTTAGGTTGGACCCCAGCAACCTGTGAGACATCATGGACAGTTACAAGTCTCTGTCTCCAGACAGCACACAGTCTACGTTAAATTATCCAGAGGGCTAGGGATAAAAGGGTGGGGGATACCAGAAGGGAAAGGGGAGCGCTAGGCTGGCCATCCACTCTGAATAGAGCCTAAGAAGTCATGTCACTTAAGCACGATATCCAGGGGTCAGAGGTTGAGTGTCTGCAGTTGGGAACGCCGAATGCTCCTGTGTTGGGATGGAATTCCATTATCAGACCAGGCCAGATTCAGGAACTTGGTTTCATTTGACTTTTCTCTCTGCCTCCCCCAGCTCACAAGGAACCGGGAAAAGCCAGGGCCAACAGCCTTGTGACTCTGGGAAGCCAGAGGACCTCTGGGCTCTTCCACAAGCAGGTGACAGTTGCCAGACAAGCCAGTCTTCCTGGAAGTCCACAGGTCCTCAGGAATCCTCTGCTCCGCCAGAGAAGGGTGGGCTGCTACGACGCCAACGATGGCAGCGATGAGGAAGAGTTCAGCAGAGAAGGGGACTGCATTTCCCTCCCGGGATCCCTGCCAGGTCCCAGCAGGCCTCTGAGAGAAGACGACTCTAGGCATGCCTTGGTGACGTCTCCCAAGATCACAGATGTCAACAGGCAAGAGGAACAACCCCAGAAAACCCAGGTCAGCAAGGCCTCCTCAGTGCCTCTCCTGGGCAGCTCGTTGTACTTGGAGGAGAGTGTTCCAGAGGGTATGGTGGATGCTGCTTCCCAGGCAACCAGCCTGCGGGGTTCTACAGAGGTCCCAAGGAATGGCCCTGGAGGCTCAGGAAGAAAGGAACTGTCAGGATCCAGAAGTTCACCCAAATTGGAATACAAAGTCCATATAGACACCCAGAGTGTGAAGAGCACAGAGAACCCCATTCCCCCCCAGAAGAGTGAAAACCTGATGTCCAGGCACAAACCCGTGGCCAGGGTCAGCCCACACTGCAAGAGGCCCGAGGCAGAGTCCAGCTGCTCAGAGACAGAGTCCCTGAGTGACAAGGCTGATGGACCATGTGGTCAGGACTTAAAAATCCAGGCCACTGCCTTCAAAGAGACTGTCACTGGTCTTCTACCCGATGGAACTGCAAAGGAGGTAACTGACTTTCTCTTGGTCACTTTGAATCTAAGTGAATATTGTGTGACTGAATAGGGGCTCTGTTGGTAAGCACAGGGAAATCCACCTCCACAAAAAGGATGCTGGTCTGGGGTGTAGCTCSGTAGTAGAGCACTTGCCTTGCATGTGTGAGGCACTGGGTTCGATTCTCAGCACCACATAAAAGTAAATCAATAGAATAAAGGTATTGTGTCCATCTACGACTAAAGTAAATATTTTTTTAAAAAAAAGATGTTGACAGGAGAAATATCTTTCGGGAGAGTCATTCATTTAATGGGAGCCTATTAGCATATTGGTAGGTCATCAGTCCTGAGGTCATTCAGCTAAAAGTGATTGCTCCCTTACCTGTACACAGGGCCTCTGGTTGAGGATGGAAAGGCAGTATGGTGTGGGTGGAGCAAAGCCCTGGGCCTGGTATCAACTGCTCCACTGACTAATTGGTATAAGTTGAGTGACTACTTAGGCAAGTTACTGAGTCTTTTTTTTTTTTTTGGGGGGGGGGTGATTACCAGGGATTGAAATCAGGGGCAATCAACCATTAGCCACATCCCCAGCCCTATTTTGTATTTTATTTAGAGACAGGGTCTCACTGAGTTGCTTAGCACCTCGCTTTTGCTGAGGCTGGCTTTCAACTCACGATTTTCCTGCCTCAGCCTCCCAAGCCGCTGGGATTACAGGGTTATTGAGCCTTTTTGAGCCTCCATTCTGGCTGTAAAACAGGGCTGGTGCTGTCTGCCTGGTCAGGTCGGAGTTGGGGGAGCCACCAAATCTATGTTGGCGGGGATTCTCTTCCACTGATAAGGTTATGAGTGGTCCTTACTATAGCTTGATTATTACTATGTCACGTGAATAAGGGGGGTCATATTCATTTAGAAAATTTATAATGCACCCACATTAGATGCAAGTTAATTTTTTGTTACTACTTGGTTAGCATTATTGAATTGTTCGGTTTTTTTTTTATATTTTGATATATACCTCTTCTTTAACAAGGAGAGAGGAATTAATGTTGTTTATTAATCTGCTCAACATAAATAATTTCTCTTTATCTCTGAGCAAACAACCTGAGGTGACTTAATCAGGCCGTATTTGAAGATGTTAATTGGCTTATGTAAAAATACATGTAGATAGATCCAGAAATGAAAAATCAAAGACACTATATGAGATCAGAAGTCTTTTTTTCCAACCCTATTTAAAACAAAAACAAAAACTGGGCGCCGTGGCACATGCCTGTAACCCCAAAGACTTGAAACGCGGAGGCAGGAGGATTGTAGGTTCAAAGCCAGCTTCAGCAACTTAGCGGGGCCCTAAGCACTTAGTGAGACCCTGTCATAAAATTAAAAATGAAAAGGGCTGGGGATCTAGTTCAGTGGTTAAGCACCCCTGGGTTAAATCCCCAGCCCCAAAAGTAAAATAAATTAAAAAGTAGAAATATGCATCTTTTTTTCCCCTCAAATTATATCTTACCTCTAACCAGCATGAGTTTGGGTTTTTTTTTTCTTTTTCCAACCTATATTTTATAAAATAATGTTTAACCAATGGGTATGTTCCATTTTTTTTCAAAAAGTATCATAATCAGTTTTGGATAACTACAGAACACCAGATCAGGATTTTTATTCATAATGATGTCTATCTATTAAAAATAAGAGCCTTTTGTACACTTTTGAAATTATATTCTCAATAAGAACTTTTGAGCAGCATTTAAAACTGGGGCAAAAGAATTTTTCTCACAAAACTTTTTGTTCCAAAATTTAATTTAATTACATACAAAAAAAAAAAAAACAACAACAGAATGCATCGCTCTGACGTATCCTCAAATATTGGAAGTTGAAAGCAAAGCCAGGGGGCTGGAGTTGTGGCTCAGCGGTCGAGCGCTTGCCTCACCTGTGCGAGACACTGGATTCGATTCTCAGCACCACATATAAATAAATGAATAAAATAAAGGTCCATCAACGTCTAAAAAATATTCTTAAAAAATCAAGACCAGAGAAAAGCTGTTGATGAGTAGGTTTTCTATTGCTTTTATTTAATTCTTTTTATTCAGGCAAAATGTACATAATGTAAAATGARCCATTTTAAAGTGCACAGTTCAATGGCCGTGGGTGCATGTGACGGCCACCTCTGTCCCCTTCCAAAACTCTGCCACTGCTTTTCCCTGACACTTACCTTGCCTTACTGAACCTGAATGGAGTTAAATGCTAGGAAGGTTTCCCTCCCCTGGCAATTGACATTTTAAAAAATGAATTTTTACAAGAGTTGCTCGGACACACTGTACCCCTCACTTCTCTTCTTTGCCGCCACCCTKGGGCCACTTTCTGACTCAAATTCAGTAGATAAATTCCAAATAAATCCGATTTAACTTTCTAATAAGTTCAAAAAAAAATTTTTTTTTCCCGCAACGAAGAGTAGGATAGAAGAAAGGAGGATAAAGTCACTGACACTTGGCCTGAGAGAGATCTTAAAATATTAAATGTCAGTTTCATTTATCCAGATTTGTCGTTTCCCTCACTACTAAGCTAAGGAATTGACTTTACAGTCTCGGAGATCTCTAAATAGTATTATAATAATACTGCCTTCCATCTCGAGAGCCTTTTATATGCCATTTTATAGCTATTCTCACTTGAGCATCTTTTATTTAATACTCCATCGTGAGGGCTGAGGCGGTGGCTCAGGGGCAGAGCACCTGCCTCACATGGGTGAGGCACTGGGTTCAATCCTCGGCACCACATAAAAATGAACAGTGGCATTCTGTCCATCCACAACTACAAAAAAAAAAAAAWTTAAAAAACCTCCATAGTGAGACTTCTCATTCCCATTTTCAAGCTGAGGAAACTGGGTCTTGGGCCAGAGGAACAAGACCACACTCCTTTCAGGTCCAGATCTCCTGGCTCCTCCTCCAGCCTCTTCTGACTTTTCTCAAACCACTCTCCTCTGCTCTGTATGATGTTGTCTTATGATGCAGAAAACCTGAAAGCCATCAGCAGTGACTTGTGGTTGTAATTGTACCAGGAACCTCTGGGGAAGCTGACCCCTGGGGATGGATGTGTCCCGATTGACTGTGGGCCAGCCAGTATTCTGTGTCACCCTGACCCCGGACATCTCACAGAGAACCCCCCCGAAGCTGCACCAGAGTGGGGGCAACAGCCTGTGACTGGTGAGATTAATTTATCATTTGTTAAATTTAAAAGTAGCAAGGCACACACCCTAATAAAAGTACTACAAGTGGATGATTTTGAGGAGGGGAAAACTTCTTATGCGAATTTATGATGTTTAAATGCTGCCTTCACTTAACAATTTGACTAGACCATTGTGTCTAACTTTATACCTTTTTTTTTTTTTTTTTTTTTGGTATTGACGATTGAACTCAGGGGCACTTGGCCGCTGAGCCACACCCCCAGCCCTGTTTTATATTTATCTGGAGACAGGGTCTCACTGAGTTGTTTAGCGCCTCACGTTTGCTGAGCCTGGCTTTGAACTCAAGATCCTCCTGCCTCAGCCTCCCAAGCGGCTGGGATTCTAAATTCATAGTTTTAATTCCATGTCGATGGYGTCCATTTTCAGGCATCAGTACTATTTTCCCATTTTGTGTCACAAATGAGACATGAGATAAAACACAAGGATCTTCCACCCTTCAGAATCTCAACACACTGCTTATGTGAAATCAAGTGCACTAAGAATGGCGACGAAAACCTCCACCAGGGAAAGTAAAAAAAAAAAAACAAATATTGGAAAAAGTGTTGATGAGAGATGGAGTGATGTTGTGGAAGCAGAAATCGTGTCAAAATCAATTTGACCACCTAGCATCTTGTAGTCATCCAGAATAATGTGGCAGAATGAGCTGTTTCTAGTCAGGCTGAATTTCAATAACTTGTCAGCCTTTTTAGTGGAAGTGGCAAATTTGTCTTCTAAACTTGCACTTTGGTGGGGACACTTTTCTCAGTGGCTGAGAACCGCTGGAGGGCCTCTGAGGTGCTGGCAATCCCTCTGCGGCTGCCACCAGAGAGTCTTTGCCGATTGCAGTTCCTGCTCTCTAGTGAGCAGCTATGGCAGAAGGAGGGACATGAGAAGCCCCACTTGGTAGGGCTGTCCTCATACATAAAAAATTTGGAAACTCAGAATATCCTCCCGATATTTTGATGGCCACTTACAGAAAAAAAAATACAGGTCCCTGATGTTTTGTGATCTGTGGCTCTTGGTCCCCCTGTGGATAAGGCTGTTACCCTGGTTTCTGTTCTGTACGGTTCGCCCTCACTCACTGACCCAGTGTGAACAACCAATTTTATTAACAGTCTGACTKTTGCAAAGTGTGTTAGCTTTAAGGGGTTTTATTTGAGGGAAGATAAGTTATATGGAGGAAGCCCTCGGGGTCACCTTTCAAAAGAATGCTTGATCTGAGGCCAGCATCACCACACATTTGAAGAGTGAATATTCAATAAAAAGATCCTCTGGAAGTTTCCTTGGAAGGGACGTTTGCTCTGGAATTGAAGGGGAGGGGCAACAAAGGGGCATTTTTTAAATCACCARCGTAATGCAGAAATCCTTTCTTTTCTCTTTCCACATGAGGACGTTTTCCTTAATTCTGTGCATTTGTGACTTAAATAAGTGGGTGTAGGCATGTAAATTTCTCCTGGGTTGTATTCCATGTAGAGAGACATCCAGCCTACCCCTCCCCACTTCCCCCCCCACAGAAGAACCGCCTTCCCCGTGTGCTGCAGCTTCTGATCCTTCCCACGGCAGGTGTGTGGGTGCTCGCCTGTCTCCCCGTCTCTGGACTCCCTAGAGATGATGAGCCCTGAGAAAGGAGCAACTTGTCTCCTGGGCATTCGCTGAGCAACCAATTAACACTGTGCCAGGAACCGATACTTGGTATTTGTGCTGTGTTCAATTAACATACAATTCATGATACCCATTATCATCCAATTCTTAAATGTCAGGGTCCTCATTATGAGGACTGACTGTTGAGTTATAGTGACACCCTGGCACCCTCTAGGCTTTTGGGGTGTATGAGAAGTATTACACATTTTACCTGGTCCCAAGCCAGACTTGATGGTACACACTGCTAATCCCAGCTGCTCAAGAGGCTGAGGCRGGAGGATCGMAAGCTTGAGGCCAACCTGGGCAAYTTATCAAGACCTTGTCTCCATGTCTCTTTTAGAGGGGAGGCAGGGAGGTACCAGGGGTKGAACTCAGGGACACTCAGCCACCGAGCTACAYCCCCAGCCCATTTTTGTATTTCCTTTAGAGATAGGGTCTCATTGAGTTGCTTAGTGCCTCACTTTTTGCTGAAGCTGGCTTTGAATTCGTGATCCTCTGCCTCAGCCTCTTGAGCCACTGGGATTACAGGTGTGCACCACCACACCTAGCTCCATATCTCTTAATAAAATAAAAAGGTCTGGGAATGTAGCTCAGTGGCAGATCACATGCCTATCATGTGTGAAGCCTTGGGTTCAATTCCCAGCATGGCAAAACAAAAATAAATAAATAAATAAATAAATAGGTAGATAGGTAGATAGATGGATAGATAGCATCGTCCCTACAATTTTATCAGAGCTTCTGAATCCTTTTTGTAGATTTCTATTTCTCCTTCCCAGTCAAAAAGCTAACTGTGACCAGTTGGTCCTGCCAAGAAATCGACTGCTAATCAAAGCCTTCGTTCTTCTAATTTGATTATAAGTAGCTTAGCTACTTTTCAATATGTAGGAAGAATATTCTTCAAAATATATTCTTTTTTTATGTAAAGATCCCAGAATGCTTAACTGATAAAGAAGGAACACCTTACCTTTTTTTCTTTTAATCCTTTTTAAGATTCCAAAACAATGTAYGCACAGCAAGATGGTGAAGCCTGAGGCACCACCTGCAGGCTCCCTGGGTTCAAGTCCAAGCTTCAAAGTTTGACCAGGGAATTGACCCTGGGCAAGTCACTCAGGTCCTAGGTTGCCCACCCTGTGGTTTTAGGGGTGTTTATTGTTTTGTTTTGTTTTGTTTTTTGGAGGAATCAATGAAGTTTTTCACAGATAACACTTGGAGCCCTGTCTAGTATACCATATACACTCAATAAACTTTATGCACATGATTTTTCTAAGGAAAAAATAAGCACGTATTTCACTGCCTAGAATATAATATACATGCAGTAGGATACATGCATGTACACAGACATACAAACAACACGATTTTTCTAAGAAACTTTCTAGAAAGGAATAAAGATCGACTTGCTATTGGACACAGGAGTGATCGGCCAACCAAGCAAGTGTGCCGGTGGGGAGGTCTGACGTAGAGCCCAGGCAGCTGGAACTGACCCCTAGCGGGTAGCTCTTAGAAACCAGGAGGAAGAGGCAGCCCAAAGCAGTGTGGGGAGTGTAGAAGCCCTTGTTTGCCACTAAACTTTTAAATAACTCTCATGAAATRCATCCATGATGATTATTTTAAAAAACTGAGAAAATAATAGTTAATAGAGAAATTGTTAAAAAAATCATCTAAGCCCCAGGGTGGGGAAAAAACTCTATTAACATTTTGCGTTGCATCTTTTTGTTTTTTGGTTTTTTTAGAGAGATTGAGAGTGAGAGAGAGAGAGAGAGAATTTTTTTTTAATATTTATTTTTTAGT